AAAACTAGCTGTACACAAGTGATTTTTCGGTCTTGGATAAAGACTTTCAATACTGTTTTCCTTTAGCAGCTTTCCAGAGTGCTCAAAAATAAAACACCAAAATAAAATATAACAAAGCCTTGTTAAGGCAGTCTTGTCTTTGACCCATGGTCCATAAAACCAAAAGCTCTATAATTAGCAATTGGGTTTGTAGAAGGGAGGAATTGGCCCCAATGGCAGGCCTGTGTAAGACAACCTATAATTGGACCACAGGCACACCCATTGAACAAGCTACACAGTGTTCCTGCATCATGCATTACCATTTAATTGTAATAATTAAATTGCCCAAATGTAGTAGTTGCAATACAATCTAAGTAAGAGATTGCGACTTAAATGGCAATGTGTTCAATGCACATAAATAAGCGATCTGTATGTGCAATGGTTTACACACACTGATCTGTTCATGTATTTCTGAATTAGGGATCAAAGGATGAAGGCAGCCTTTGCAATGCTATTCATCATACGGTTATTTCCTATGCTGGAACTAACACGCATTTGTCTTTTTCAGATAGCCTTTCAGGGTGAAATTTGGCTTTCGCCCACACAAGTTCACACTGTGGCCTTGTGTGACAAAGCCTTCATCAGAGAAAAATAATATCCTTCAAAAAGTATATAAAATAAAAATGTCCAGTAACTGTGAATGTGTGGATGCTTAAAAGACAACATAGATTGAAATGGTGCCTGTTGGACAGATGAAGAGCAAGATGGATGTGATTCTCAAAAATATGCTTCATTTAAACCGGGTAAAACTAATTGTCTTTAAATACAAATATAACACAAATAGAAACTGAACAGGAACAGGTCCTTGAATTAATTTAAAGGGGTAGTTCACTTAAAATGAAAATGTGCTGAAAATGTACTCACCCTCAGGTCATCCAAGATACAGATGAGAATCAGAATGAGAGTCCAAACAGCTGATAAAAGCATCACAATAATTCACAAGTATTCCAGTTCAAGTCCATCAATTAATTACTTGTGAAGTGAAAAGCTGCATGTTTGTAAAAAACAAATCCATCATTGAGACATTTTAAACTTCAAACGGTTGCTTCCAGTTTCTTCCAGCTAAAATACAAGTCCTCTATCCATAATATTGCTTTCTCCAGTGAAAAATTTATCTCGTCTGAATCGGGAGAGAAATATGCAGAGATCAAGCACCGTTTACAAGCAAAACAATCCAAAACAGTTATATGTCATTATATAACAACAGTTATAAACAAATACTTTAGTGGTTTTTGATGTGAGAGGAAGACATAAGCGGTGGACTTTTTTGATGGAGGAAGTGTTATTATAGATCATGAATTGGTATTTTGGCCAGAAGCAACGGTTTAAATTTAAAATGTTTACAAACATGCAGCTTTTCACTTCACAAGATGTTAATTGATGAACGTGGGTTTTCTTGTGGAATTTTACTGTGATGTTTTTATCAGCTGTTTGAACTCTCATTCTGACGGCACCCATTCACTGCAGAGAATACCACAAGTGATGTAATGCTAAATTTCTCCAAATCTGTTCTGATGTAAAAATTAACTCATCCTCATTTTCATTTTGGGGGGAACTATTGCTTTAAGGATAAACATACAGGTCAAGCTTCTACAGAGAACGATAGGAAATAGGTTATATCATAATGTAAACAGATGCAGAATAAGTTATATGCAGAATAACGCTTAGTCTGGTGCAGGTTTTCTGGTAGTGCAATACGGTTAAAAGGAATCATTCCCAGGCTAATGGGTTATTGGTCACGTGTACTAGACGGCCTTAATTATGAAGCTATATTTGAATGGGGATGTAGGGCAGGGATTACTCTGACATTAACTGAGTATAGAGGTAAACCATAAACTTTAGGCATACGTCCGGTTCAGCATGTGTGCTGACATCTGAACTGCATGAATGCCACCAATCCAGTAAATGAGCACATTGACAGTGGCGTCCTTGTGTGATCGTAACTTCAAAGTCCTTAATTGGCTGGTCAGTAAAAGTTGGTCTGAGCATTTCTGTCCCAGCACACATTGACTGAAGTGAGTCAGAGGACTTCATTAATCACATGGACATAATGGTGAGGAGAAATATGGGACAGTCTGTAATGGCAGATATTTTGAAAAAGGTGAAATTAATTTTGAAAACTGGATTTTTCTGTCTTTATTG